AAAAAGCCCCATCCAGACAAACTGGGCACCTTGCTCAGCTGTGTGCCCCTCTCCCCCATCTCTGACTCAGTGCTTTGCTGCTTTCAGGGGGATGCTTTCTGCCCCTGAACTCCCCCAGCCCCACGGGGGACCCTTGGGTGCTGCTGCTGCTGCTCCCTATTAATCCCTGCTCCAGCTCCTATGATCCGGAGCTTTCTGCACTGGGGGGGCTCAGTGTGGGAGACCCTGATCCTAGCTGCCCTTGCAAAGGTGCAGTCTGAGCGCAAGGCATGCAGACAGCTATACATATCGGGTTGATTTTGGGTTGTTCTGGAGGGCTTTACCCATGAGGTGCTGTGTGTGGGTCTGGCAGCTCCGTAGCAGAGTGCTGGAGCTCGGCAGCGCTGGCTGCGAGCTGCTCTGCCTGTGGTTGGGGCTAGACGTGTACCCAACATAGTAGGTAGCATGTAGTTAGCGCGGCTTCGCCGGGGAGATCCATCTTCATCCCGCCGAGTGCAAATTGGTCCCAAGGCACCTGATCGAGTAGATGGGAAATGACAAACTGAAATTTCAGCGTAATAAAATCCTACAGCCTTTCATCTCCCGCCTTCATCATCCAGCGCGAAATGAATCCTGAGAGCAGGAGCTGATAGCATTTAATATCTCTATCGCTTGTCTCTGTAAAGGAACATAACGTATTCAGATGAAGGTGCATCTCCTGCTGCTGCCCAGGTGCTGGGTCTGCAGGTGCAGTGCCGGTGCCATGGTGCGCAGGGGCGGCTGGAGACCCTCGCCGGGCCGGCCCCCTTGGTTCAGGGCAGCGTGTCCGGAGCAGGGGTGTTCGTGGCGATCCTTCCCCAGGCCATGCCCTGCCACTGCCATGGGCTTAGTGGCTCACCGGGATGCAGGCTGAGGTGTACTGCTGCTCTCACTGCGGCTGGTGCTGTGCTCGCCTCCGGTGAAATTGCCTGATCCTCGTCTGGCTGGGCTGGAGCCAGGGCTGGTTTCTGCCGCATTTCAGCCCGCAGCCTTAAGGCAGGACCTCGTTTCACAGCTGTGGTGCACATCTGGGGCTCGAAACCTGGGGTGCTCCAATCTTTGGGGTGAGTGAGGCGTCTCTGGGCATGGGGAAGCCCTTCCCCATCGCTGCAGCTGATGCCCATCGCTCTGGCGTCCCGCACTGCTCAGCCCTTGTACCCTGCGGTGGGGTTTGTGGTCGGTCTGTCTGTCTGTCTTGGTGACGGATCTGGCCCTGCCAAAGCAGGTTGCCGGTGCATTGGATCCGACCGAAGGCAAAGCAGCCCGTGTACCGGCAGGGGGGGTGCGCGGGGGGGGAGGGCACGGTCTGGTGTGGGCGC